ACAGAAAGCTGTCCGTTAAGGCTTGAATTTAGTATTTGTGTCAGGGCCTCAATTTGTGATAAAATTCAGACCCCGAAGACAGTTTTCTTTAGCAGCCTGAGCTTTAGTGTGGATGTTGAATTTAGCCACAAAAATGTCTGAGGCAAGTAGGCCTGACATTATGCATGATGTCAGACATTTTAGTTTGAACCGTTTTAGGGGTCATTTGCAGGCATTCTTACCCCTGGGTGTTCTTTTGAAAATTCAGCCCCCAAAAACAGTTTCACTTAAGATCCCACCAGAAAAAAAATACTCTGAAAAAGACTTGCCTGAAACGATACAGGAAGGCTGTCATTTTGATTTGAATCGACAATTTTAAGGTCACATTTTTTTCAACACACCATCCCTCGGTTACATGACGATTGTGCTGAGTTTCGAGCTGTCAAAATGTACTCTGCTGCTCTCATGCGGTGAAAATATGTTACTGCGTCATGTCTCGTCGCGCACGCTTAGAGAAATGACACCGCCGCTAGAATTGTGACGAAGAAACACGGGTTGATTTATAGTGGATTATTTACAGCGCATATGTAACTGCAGTAAGAAAGGCTGGTTATGTCTCTTGTTGCAGTACATAAGGACCACCTATAGAGGGGGGCAAAGTCACATTAAAAAATCCTGCTTTTTGCTTCACATTTACACAGATGATCTGTAAACAGTATAGTAATACAGCGGGTCATTTTTATTATTATTATTATTTTTACATTATATTTATTATACCTTTTTTGACATTGGGCTCATATTTGAACAAAATGATACTTATTGTGCTTATAGTGTAGTTTGCAGCGGTGTATACGATTCAATTCCCGACAGACGTTCCTTACATTTTGATCGATGTGGCTAAATGACACATAGCAGTTGTAAACACATTAAAAGTGCAATAAGCAAACAGCGTCGAGCTCTAGTCGTGTCTCGTTGTGCAGACTTGAAAGTTTGTGCTGTGCCTGTTGAAATGGAAGCCCACGGAAGGGAGCGTCAGTGAAGGAGAGCTGCGAGCAGCACTCAGCAGTCCGTTGAGGCATGGCGCTCAGCCATGCATTATTTAGCCTTCATTTGCACAAGACAAGACACAATGTGTGGCGGCGGCGCCGGCGCCGTGCCAGAGGGATGTTTTTGGGTTTGGAATAGTGTGGAAGCTTTACTCTCACCCCCCCCCCCCCCCCCCCCCCCTTTTTTTTTTTTTTTTTTTCCTTCTGCTTATTTGCGCTGCTTTGCCAAACACCCCTGGGTTTTCTTTACTGATTTATGTGTGTTTATCTATGTTTGTTTTTCATTAATTTGGTTTTGATGAGAGATTTTATTTAGCATATATTTCTTTGTAGTTTTATTTCAGTGATTGGTTTGATTTATTTTTTAAATATTTTTCCATGTATTAATTTTGAGATATATACACTATTTTGTATCTATTTGTCTTTTTAAATTGTTATATCCACGTTTTTTAATTTCAATTTTATTTAAACTTTACTCTGTGTTTGTCATTTTCAGTTATTTTTTATTGCAGTTTAAAAAATTGAAGTTGCAATGGTTAATCAATTAAACAATATTCAATCATTTTTTTTTTTTTTGCAAATTGTTTGGAATCATTTTTTAAAATTTAGAATTGTCCAAATCTGTAATTTCAGCTTCTCAACAGTAACTATTGTCCAATTTCTGTAGTCGTCTTTGCAAGCATACTGATCATCTTTGGGTGCTCCGGTTTCCTCCGACGTTCCAAAAACATGCGTGGCAGGTTAATGGAACACTCTAAATTGTTGCTAGGTGTGATTGTGAGCATCAATGGTTGTTTGTCTATGTGTGCCCTGTGATTAACTGGCGACCAGTTCAGGGTGTGCCCCGCCTACTGCCTGAAGACAGCTGGGATAGGCTCCGGCACGCCCTGCGACGCTTGTGAGGATAAAGTGGATCGTAAAAACAAACCCACAGGACTGATCTTCATTTTGGTAACTCATCTTTACAGTAACTATAACTCATCATTTTGTACATATTAACAGAGCATCAGGCTATCATATAAGTGGACACTCTTGGCCCATGTCTGGTGTCACATACAAAACACCTGGCTGACGCTTACGCTTCGCACTCCTTTACAAGTGGTAAACGTGATTTATAATTGCAAGTTTGGCTCACGTCTTTCGCATCTCACTTCAAACAATGTGAATATTTGGCTGACACATCGGTGCACTTTTGCCCCCTTGCTGTGTGTATGAACAAAGGGACCCTCAGTGTTTGCTATGGGAGGAGGGAGGGAGGTAAGGGGAGCTTGAAATCCAACTCTTGAATCCTGCAGCATGTATGCGTTTCCCTTGTGTGTGTCTGCTTTTCCCATCACTGTTTAATACAGTAGATGGATTTTGCTTGAATGAAAAAAAACTGTCAGTCCATGTTGCAAGAATTTAAATCTTTGTAACCTCTGACATGTAATCGCTCCACAATGTTGTGGGCATCCACATCTATGTTCCGTGGGGATACTGGACTTACTTCTCACCTTATGTTATGTGGAGATGTCATCCTTAATGATTAGTGTTGCAGTACACGCTGACATGTGCTCCATATTTACAATTATGCTTGGTGTCAAAGCCCCACTTTCTCTAGAAAAGTCTGCAAAAATCATCAATCCTAACTAGAACACCTCAAAACATGTTATTTCATGTTCAGCACTTGATTTAGATCTTATCCCTCAGAGAGGATGCACCATGTGATCCATGGTAATGTGACCTGAGTATTGTAATGTCACCTGTGGAGTCCCACAAGGATCACAACTTAGCCCCCTAGTGGGTAGCATCAACAAAGCACACAAATCTGATTTTGCACCAACTAACCAGAACAAGATCTGAGTTGGGCCAGCTTTCTGGATGCGCTGCTGTAGAAAATTCTGCATTGACTGAGCGGGCTTGAATTTTGTGAAGGACCCATTTCTCCAATGGGGTCTTCCTGCAGCGCTTCATCTTATCAAATCAAGTTGTTCTCCTGAACTTTTATAGAATCGCATTATATGTTCAATGTTGCACACTCTGCATCTATTGGAGCCTGGTCATCGTGGAAGGGAGATTCAACCCCAACCTGTGTTCCCTTATCAAGGTTTCTTTTTTCCACATAGAGTTTTTTGAGTTTTTCCTTGCCCTCCGGGGGGGCTTAGGTCACGGGATGTCATTATTTTTCACCTGTGGACCTTGTGAAGCCCTTTCAGACTCTTTTGTAATTTAGCACTCTACAAATAAATTTGACTTGACGATCTTGCCACTGATAGTTCAGTCTGGTGTGGTTCCAACCTTCTACTATGTGGCGACAGTGTGACCATTATCTTTCCCTTAGACGCTGGCTAACGGTCGCTCCACAAAGTTGTGTACGTCCAGGTTTACGTTACGGGAAGAGACCAAATTTATTGGTTTTGCTGGCAGTGCATCTGACCTTGCGTTATGCGGAGATGGTGTCCTCAACAATCATTTCTAGTTCCGCCCAAGCTGCCTTGGACCTGACAATATCTTATATCTTGCAATAGTGATTCACTTCGTGTTTTAGTAGACTGTAACATGTGATCGCTCCACAACGTTGTGTATTCCCAGTCTGCCTGGATACTTGCTGCATTTCTCCATGTTTTGATTTGGGTCAAACAACCCCCCCAAGTTCTCCCTAGTCATGTTCTCATGACTGTAATAGCTTCACCAAAACAGCAGTCGAGCACATGGTGATCTCAGCACTTGGCCGCGACTGCCTTCCATTATTCTTTCTTCCTAGGGAACACTTTATCTGTCCACACAAATTCTCTGCAAACACAAGAGAGATCCAACCTCTGCACGCCCTTTCCTCAATCTGCCTCGGCGGTAGCTTTTTTTTTTTTCCGGGCTCACGGAAAAAAAAAAGTGCTGCTGAGCGAAAGCTCTTGAGATAAACGCACAAAAGACTTGGAAAATGTGTTCACCTTCGGGATGAGGCCTGGAACATGTCCAGAATGTGTTTTCTTTCCACCACGCAGGGAAATAACATGTTAGAAAATTTGTTTTTGTTTTTTTTGGAGGGGGGGGGGCGAATGTCAACAATGAATTGGGAAATGACAGGGCACCAGCGGGTGTTGACACTAGCACGCCACCACATGTCTCCTCCAGGATGCAAAAGGAGATTCCGATGAGCTCAGCGTTCCTGAAGAGTAACTGAATGCACCGTGGACATGGAAGTGCGTGTGTGTGTGTGTGTGTGTGTGTGTGTGTGTGTGTGTGTGTGTGTGTGTGTGCGTGTGTGTGTGTGTGTGTGTGTGTGTTTCATAATGAACAACTGGAGGAGAGTAGCGATGTTTGCAACATGCAGATGTCAAAACACAACAAGCAACAGACCCATACATAACCTTGTGAAGGTGGGAGTTTGAATTTTGAAATGGGATGCAACCTGCAGCATCCAGAACTGATCTAAGCCTGTGAACCAGGGTTTCGAACCACTAGCACACTGTGATTCAAATAACAAACCACGCCATCCTTCACTTCATCACAAATTGCTTACTAGAAAACGTTTTGGAATGAATGGGACGTATTTTATCATAAATATGTACAATATTGCTACGATGATTTCTAAAATAATGCTCACTCTTGATATGCGCATCATTAATGTTTAGGTGTCACATACATATTTTAACGATTTAATATTGATGTATTAAATTCTATTTTTAATCTATATTTTATGAATATTCAGAAATACTTTTCGTTTTATCATATATTTTTGGATTTGTACTTGATATTCCGAGTCCCCCCACCAATATCTTTGATGAATATAATTTATCATAGTAATTTATTCAGCTCTCGCACAGACTGGAGCTGGATGTAGGCTTATTTCCTCCAATAAATAATTTTATGTTAAAAAAATCGCACATTTACGATGAACATAATGAAGAGATGTTCCTCATCTACTCTGAGTCATCGGCGTCCTCTCCCACGAGCAGTAGTCCAATGTCCGCCTCTCGACGGCGTCCCTGAAGGCAGCGCCGGCCCATGCTGAGCGATCGCTTCTCTCCGGGGAGACTCAGCCGAGAGATGAACTAGGACAAGCGGATCATGGCTGTGTCTCTGTGCCGGGACTCCCTGCCCGAACATTGGACGTACGGCGTGTGCAGGAACGGGAGGGTCTTCTTCATCAAGTGAGTCATCTGCCTTCCGTGCCTTTTTCGCCTATTTTCGCTTTTGGCTTCGGCGTAACAGGTGTTTTTTTTTTAACCCTCCCTCACTCCTCCTCCTCCGCACTCGCCGCCTTCCTCCACCCTTCTACTGTGCACGCGTGTGTCCGGGAACAAGCGACCGTACGCGGGAGACCACCTGGTTGCACCCACGCTCCGCCGAGCCGGTCAACTCGGGACATATGATCCGGTCAGGTAAGCTAGCAAAGCGACCGCCTTGGCTCCTGTAGCCCCGGTTGGCCCGGTTCCTCTCGACACGACTCGGCTTTCAACTTTCAAGTTTGTTTTTTTTTCGTCTTTTCAGATCTGCCCAAGGGATGGGAGGAAGGCTTCACGGATGAAGGAGCGAGCTACTTTATCGAGTAAGTGCCGAATAAAAAGTTTAAGAAATGTTCGTGAACGCGTCACCTGCATCACAAGTTGGCGCTCAGCTCTGAATAATGGCTGCCGCTCGTTAAGTCACTCAGGGACTCTTCATTAGGTACACAACAACTGGATTTGCATTTCATGTATTTTGCGAAGTCTGGCTTTTACCCCTTTGCTGGTTCTCCCTCAATGACTTTTTTTCTTCTTTAGCAGGGGAAAACACTTAATTCACGACTAGTCGACGTAAGGCTCTAAACATATATTTGGAGTAGTTAAGTCGACAAATTGACTAGCCCGCTGGTTCCCAAGGTGATTTTCAATTGGCATGTGGGGTCCCTCTGGTGGTCCGTGACAGAATGACAGAATTAAATGTTAAAACCGCGCAGTTACATTCATGTGGTAAATTTGTTGAAATATAATTGAGCTGTATTTAACTTTTAAATACAGTGTGCATTTAGTCTTTCAGAACTGTTTCAAATATTTATTTAGGTACATTTTTATTTAACTTGTTTTAATGTTTATTGACGTCGAACCATTTATTTACATCACATTTAAGTACAGTGTTTGCATTCAAACTTTGCATTATTTTACAGTGGCTTACTTTACATACACTTAAGTAGAGATGTCTACGTACACCTTTTTTTTTCAGTCCGACACCAGACTGAGGATTAACTCTTGAGCATTCAGTCATTCCAAGTATCAATACCACTCGTACTTATGATACATAAAATTTCAGTAAAATAATAACAGACAATTGCGAACAGAGCTCTCTGTCTTTCTGACCCACATGATAATTCACTGATGTGTCAAACGACCGTAGTGCAGCACTAACTACTGGCATGAAAGACTAACTCGATGTCAGATTTTAAAATTAAAAAAAAAAAAAAATATATATATATATATTGGTTTTAGTATCAATGGATGGGCATCCTTAACAAGTACCTGATAATTTGAGATAAGCCCGGTATCGGCCCGATATGGATGCTTTGTATCGGTACTCGGCCATCCTTACTTATTGGATGAAAGCCTTTTCCTCTGTTCAAATGAACACTTGGGCCTACTACATGACTGTATTTTAACTTTGGTCATTATGCTAATACTTGGAGAGCAAAATATAAATATATATACCTGTGTGTGTGTGTGTGTGTGTGTGTGTGTGTGTGGTTCTTGCTAAAGGTTTTAGAATTTTGGACTAGTCGACTAGTGTTCACAACCACTAGTTGCTCCGGTGTGCCAGCAGTGTTTTGTGCCACATTTCCCTACCTTGGAGATGATATTTGGTTGCCTCAGCCCAGAAGTATCTCGATATTCAAACGATGCATGTCGCCTGCAGTGACACAAGCGACAGGCAAAACATCACCTGCGGCACATTCAATGCAAAAGGTTTTGAGCGTGTTTTTACTCAATGCATGACAAATCCCTTTTAAAGTTATTGATAGCATTTTGTCCCTATTTGGGGGATTTTTATGGTATTTCTTGCATGGTTTAAAATCCCTGGCCACAACATTAGGTACACCTGCACAAACAATGTGTAATGAATGTCTTTTCTTGCGGTCAATATGACAATTATAAACATATTGTGAAGTGAATTCCTTGCTGTGAGTGTCAATCCAAACTGAGCATGATTTAATTTGTGTTTTACGCCACTTCATTTTCGATTCAGTTTTGTATTTCAGGGATGGGCAGCGTAAATGTTGGAGGTAGGAGCCACAATTTTTCATCAGTGCAATTGTATGCCTATTTTTTTTTTTTTTACATTCATTTTTGGGTACAACTTTTATATTTGATCTCTATAGCGTGTGCACGTGGATTATTATCTTTGATTTTATTTTAATCCACCAGCAGTATCATTGAGTGACGTCCTAATTGTTTGATACAGCGCCTGTGTGTTGTGGTGTCTCTAATGGTGAGGCCAATAATTTTGTTTTTAAATTATCCATCCATTTTTGCATACAAGCTCAATATGGGATCTCCATGATGCGTTCAGGTGTATCTAATGTTGTGGCTGCTCACGCCAATTTAACTGTGACATCAATGAACTAACTCCATGGTTCTTAGCGGCATCATGACGAGACACACTGTGCTGATAAATCCGGTGACACAATGTTTGTCTGCCTGCTGGCTATTTGCTGGCATATTTATCCCGCCGGGTGAAGTTTACTTTGCCTGGACTTGTTGAATAACCGCCCCGACTTGTGGACTCAGTGTAGTGTATTTGGACTGAATGACAACTGCAGCGCGCCTCCCACTACCCCTCACAAACATACTGTAGCGCCGTGTGTGTGTGTGTGTGTGTGTGTGTGTGTGTGTGTGTGTGTGTGTGTGTGTGTGTGTGTGTGTGGGGTTAATTATTGGTCAGGATGTTTGTCTTAGATTCCAGCAGTATTACACTGCACCTACTGTTGTGAACTGTCTGACGTGTGTTAGCCCACTGTCACGCAGCCCCCCTTAGTGAGGGGCTTCTGCTGCGAGAAAGGGGATTAGACGAGAGTTGGGGTTACGATGGGCGGAAAGAAACTTGATCGCATGCCAAGTGAAAGAGGGGTTTTGTCCCCGTGGCCTTCATCACGTCTCTAATCTACAATCAATGAGCTCAGTTTTCCCAGTGCAAATAATGGAAGCAGAAATAGTCACCATTGTAAGTCATGTATTAACTGCAGGCAATGTTTGAAGACACATTTTTCTCTCAAGCCACAATTTTTAACGGGGAATATTTTTCCGAGATTTATTTATTTTTGCAGTTAAAGCTGAAGTAAATAATACAATCAAAGCCCGAAACCAGGAAATCTCGAAGTGTAGTAAAGGCTCCCTCTAGTGACAGTTGACGGAATCACGGCCTAACTTCAGTTCAGTTGTATTTAACTTATTTTTTAAAATGTTACCATATTTAGGTACGGTGCTAATTTTAAACCATGCATAATATTACACTAGCTTACAATCATATGGTTGACAACAAAGCTTGTTTTTGATGAATACTACGCTCTTGTATTTTAATGTTGATCATCATGGAGGTACTTGGAGAGCTACTTTTTTTTTTTTTTTGTCAAATTGGATAATTTGTTTTTTCCTCAACACACTGTGTCATAGTGCTTGGGAATGTATGTGTGTGTAACTATATCTATAAAGCAGTGTCTTTATATTGAACGTGTTGTGACTATTAACACATTTTTTCCACTGTTCTATCCTTCCAAAATGAATACACCGAAGGTGAAAAACCTTGAAAGTGTTGTGACGCGAATGATTCTATCGGGAGGCCGCGACAAAGAGGCTTATCTCCAATCGGCTTACAGAATGGCAGGAGTGCGAGTGGCCTAACATTTCGTGGAACACTTTTTAGAAGCATGCGTCTTGCATCGGGTGAAGGCCGGATAGATTTGTTTAGGGTCGTACATGCATGCTGACGTGAACGAGTATCCTAAGAATAGCGCAAGCATAGAAAAGAGAGCGAGCAGAAAAGATTCGTCATCGAGATGCGTTGAAGAGAAGTTTGGCAATGGAGGCTTTTGAGCACAAGAAGCGCACGCACTTAAAAGCAAAGAACTACTTCTGATTTGTTCAGGTTCACAATGAATCATTCACGTAGGGAACAGATGATGGACAAAATCAGAGGCAGAGCAAGCTGTGCAAAAGTGTGGGTGTTAAAGCGGATCTTCCATTAGCATTTCATGACGTGAGGGGGGAAAAAAAAGGTGAGAGACTGGCGCCTTTTGGAGGTGGCAGAGCAGCCTGTTGTATTTCGTGATGGAAATCACTGAATGTTACCTTACAATTGCGGATATTTAAAAAAAAAACAAAACAAAAAAAAAATCATGGGTCACATTGCTCAAGTAGGTTAAAAACAAGCAAAAAAAAAAAACAAAAAAACAAAAATGCTTGGCAGATACCGGTAATTACGATCTATGTTGGACAACATTCCCCCCGGCGTAGCGTTCGACTGACAGTGATGTTCACTCATGGGCAGCGGATGCTAGCAGACGCGTCAGACGTTAGCCGAAAGTTAATGACTTGAGGCTAACCCCGATCGCCGCTGGCCTTAATCGATTCAGATCAGCGGCGGGGAACAAGAGCAGCGACGCAAAGAGAAGCGTCATGGCCAAATTATCATGACCAATAATTCGCAGACAACAACTCTTATCATTGCGTAAGAAATGCCGTGACATTATTGTCATAACGGAAACACTTATTTTATATGTTTTCATTTCGGTCTTTGAAAGTCGATTTTTATATGAAAATGGCCGGTGGAACTAAAAAGTTTGGGGCCCGCTGCCTTAATTTAAAAGGAAAATCTCGTTAAAAAAAAATCCTTACAATATGTTCTATGCGCTTCCACTAGTCTAAACATAGTACTGTGATTAATTCATATTGCATTTGTGGAATATGAATGGAGCAGCAAAATCCACCCGTTTTTAATCCATCTAAGGGGCAGTCAAGTGAAAATGACATCACAGTTTGCGAAGAGCTCAGGTCATGAGCAATCACGGGTCATTTTGTTTTCTGAGTGTGGGCATGTGATGTTCGCAAGCTGAACTGTGATTGTGCTGTCTGGGCACATGGTGTGGACCGCACTAAACATAGACCAGATGAAGGAAAACAGAAGATTTTTGCCAACGGTTTTGTCCATTAAGCAAAAGCGGCCGGGGCCAATGTTCTTCTCTTAAATTGTACCGTTTTTGTGGTTCAATGAATAAAATCATGCAGTATACCGATAGTGGCGCTCAAAATGTTGTGTGGGGGTCGCAATCAAAGTACCCGCGAGAGCCAATCGTCAAGTGCGCGGGTCTGATTTGGTGTGCGGCAGGCCTGAAAGGAAGGCATCCTCTCGGTCTTCAAATAAAAAGGACGCTTTGTTTTGTCCGAAAACGATTGTCCCTGTCAACAACACATCATTGCTTGGAAGGGGTGAAATGTTTCTTGTATTTGCCGAGTTTTTTTGGAAGTGGGTGGTGGAGGGAGGAGAAAGTGAAAAAGTTAAAATTCAAGGACAACATCTCACATC